GCTAAAGAATGTAAAAAGCTGGGCACGGCAGCACAGAATGTCTGCCATGCACTTTATTGGGCTGAGCACACCTGCAACCTCAGTGCTAAGTGGTCTAGTGGGGAGGCAGGTAATTCCTGGAGCTCAGAGGCCAGGCTAGCACACTGGATGAGCACAGCATTCTGTGAGAGACCCTGTTTCAAGAACAGGGTGGAGAGAGTGAGAGATCTGTAGGATCTACAGTACTGAGATGTACATGGCCACAGAAACAAGTACATATACTACAAATACCACACACACACACACCTTCTCTCCCTTAATTCCCCTCTCACACCTGAACACAAGCATTGAACATCTCAAGCTAACTAAAACAGTGAAAAAAACACAACAAAGGATGCAGAATTACAAGAGTCATCTCTCTAAACAAATACTTTTAATTTCTCAATTTTTAGCTCAATGAAAAAGGTAAAGCTCCATTTTTGTCCCAGCTCTAGCTTCTGATTCTGTGAGTGATGTCCTGCTCCATGGCAGACACTTAGCTCCTTGCACTTATTCACCAGTTCTCAGTAAATAGTCATACGTAAATGTCATTCTCATCTTTAACAAATATTTACTATGTGCAGCAAAATCCCAAATCTCTTCTTTTATGATGTTCATATCTTAATACATTTCTTTTGAGGTGGGGTCTCACTGTGTAGATCTGGCTGGCCTAGAACTTGCTATGTAGATTAGGCTGGCCTTGAACTCACGAGTGCCCCTGAGTGATGGGATTAAAAGCACACACTGCCACACCTGGCTCCATATTCTAATATGAACACAAAGTACACACTTATAGAACAGTGTGGTATCCTTACTATAAAGAGGCCACAACCCTGGAACTTGGCAACTCCTGATAAAGACTACAGGAGTGGGTGCTGACAGCTGCCGTGGGAGTGTCAGGTGATAACTAGTGCTCAACAGGCCGACCCACCAGACAAGTGACTCTCTGTGGGCAGCCCCACTAGGGAAAGTCTGTGGGGTCACTGGCTGTGGAAACCAACTGCCCCTGTCTGTAATTTCTCTCATGTGCCACTTCATTCCTTCCCTAAGAACTGCTGTGGGTATTTCCCACTGCGTGTGTTTATCTCATGTATGTGTTCCATCTATTGGGCACACAGCTGTGGATGGTCAGGAAGGTGATTTCTGCTAAATCTGTATTACTCTGGTGAATAGAAATAACACTATGATATTTTTCATTATTCAGACTGACATAGGAAAGCAAAAGATTTTTTGGTCACAAAGGCAGCTAATTTTAGACTTCAGAACAAATTCAAAGCAGACTGGTTTCTCCAGGAGATGAATATCTATGGTTGCCCCTAGAGAAAAAAATACATGAGGTCATTTTCCCAGGTGTTTGCTGATTCAAGGTCAGAGCTTGAAGCGACTTTAGTAGCCATAACTTTCTCAGCAACTGACTTTTTGCACACAGTCCCAGCCTCAGTTTGTGTTACAAGCTCAAGGTTCAGCCAACTGTTTGCTTTCTGTCTGAGAACCCTCACCATTTAGGCTACATGCATGGAGAAGAATGCATGTAAAGAGAGACACGTAGCTGTATGTAAAGAATGTAGCTGTGGAGAGACAGAGATTCTCAGAGAGGATTATTTAAGATGAAGTAAAAGAGAAAGTTACCATCAGAAAGTATGTTATTCCTTATTTACCCATCAGCTAGAAAAGTCTAGCCCTCAGCGCATTTGTGGATTTTTTTTTCATACCCTGGTGCTGACTGGAGTGGGGCTGTCTCTGACTCTTTTGCTTTCTCTTGTGACCCTTTTCCTCCTAATGGGTTACCTTGTCCAGCCTTGATATTAGGGTTTGTGCCAAGTTTTATTGTAACTTGTTATGCTGTGTTTGGTTGATATCCCTGGGAGGCCTGCTCTTTTATGAAGGAAAACAGAGGAGGAGTGGAACTGGGGGGAGGGTAAGGGAAATAGGGGAACTTGAAGGAGTTTAGGGAGGGGAGGCTGCAGTCAGAATGTAATGTATGAAATAAGAATAAATAAAAGAAAAAAGTGACTTTCCATTCTTGAACTGTCAATATGACTATATGTGAGCATAAACAATATTCCATATTTTATAGCAAATTGTTGTGAATTCAAACAGAATTTTACATACCTCTTAGAAAAATACTAAGTGACTGATACCTAAATGGCTGTTTTTTACAATCTCCTTGAAAAGCATGAAGCGCTTTTGTGGTAATGATTTCAACTATCTGTTTATCTTAAGGTAAAGAACAAAAACATTGTTAGTAGAATACATATTCAGTTTAAGTTTCCTATTAAAATGCAAGAGACTGTTTTGAAAATTACACAAAATGATAATTTTTTTACCACCAAGCACTCTAAATTTTCTGTCTTCTTGAAGGGAAGAAGCGCACAGACGGCACAGAAAGTCATTTCTTACTGTTGCAGATTCCGTAGCACCAGGCACATGGACTCTTATATACTGAAATCCTGAAAGAAAACAGTGGTGAGCTAAACTGCTCTCAGATTTAGCTATTTTCAATCATTTAAATTACCAGTTAATGTTTATTGCATGCTTTAATTATTTATTTGGATAGGTTGTCACCATGTCGCCCTGGTGAGATATGAACCCCGTCTCAGCCTTCCAAGTGCTAACAACATGGCTGTTTCTTTCCAAGCACTGTGCTAAGGCACTAGTAACATGGGCATTTAAACACACAATTTCTGTGTGTGGCTGGGAAACATAATTTCAGAATATGGCATCATTTGCAGAGTTCAGAGTGGAGAGAGGAAGCATCCAACTCAACCAGCTTTGAGGGTCAGTGGGAAAGAAGTCTCACAGAAAAAAAGTCTGACTAGGTTAGACTTCAGACACAGGAACTGCATGAGCAAACAGTTCTCATTCGCTCTTCCAGGATAACGTAACACTGACTAAACTGTGGAGTGCAGGAAAAGACTGCTTTAAGATTATGCACAGTAAACATAAAAGTGGTAAGAGACACCAAAATATCTCCGTTTATTTCACTTTGATTAGTCACCAATTTAAATATGGTTTGGTAGGAAACAGTTTGGCTTCTCATTTCCCATTTGAACACAGACCTTTGGAAAGAGGGCAGACTTCATCTGAGCAGAGGAATCTTGCACCTTGTGTGTACTTGGTTACAGTTGTCATTGCAATCACAATTCCTTGCATCGTATAAAATCTCCGAGATGTATAACTAAGTGGAAACTCACAAAGGTCAAGACTATAACTCGGCAGGGCTGGTAAGTGTGTTAACTTCAGCACAATACTGATCTGATAAGAACAAAAAAAGGCTATTAGTAAAGCTTGTGATCCAATTTGACTTGCCTTATCATATAGTAAGAATAGTATGCAGTTTGTTATTGTTGTTATGTACCAAATATTAAACCAGATAAAACATGAAGTTTAAAACACAAATCCTATAGCATTTTAGTTAAAAGTATTACAATGAACTCATTTTTCCTATAAAAGTATTCATTCTCTGGATATGTATACTAAAAACAATGTGAGCCCACTAACACTGGGAACTTTAGTGCCCACATTGTGATCTCAAATTAATTCTCACTTAAGGAATCAGAGCTCTTCAGTAGGAAATTAGTGATTCCAAGTCTGGGACAGAAAATACAGGAGATGGCACTGGGGCATCTTCTTTAAATTTTTTAACAAATTGTACTTACTGTACACACACACACACACACACACACACACACACACGCACATGTGCGCATGCGCCACAGCACACATACGGAGGTCAGAAGACAATCTGGGGACCAGTTTTCTCCTTCTACCACGTGTGTCCTAGGTATTGAATTCAGGTAGTCACTCAGAGACAAGTGCTTTTACTTGCAGACAGACTAAAGAGTCCATCAATTCCTCTTGTTGAGAAAAAAAAGAGAAATGTTGGTCATTATTACAGTTACTACCTGCTTTCAAGTCATTCCTCTTCAAAACTTTAAAGAGGAAAATAATCAAATATTTATCCTCCCTTTCCCAAATAAATTCTATTTCATGTAACCAAATAAATAATGGTAAATAATAATTTATTTTCATTTTCATTTATTTTCAGCACTAGAGACTAAAATTGCCCATGCTAAACAAATGCTGTCTTACCCAGCTACATCCCTAAGCCAGACAGTTTCTTTTATAGGATAATTTGAGATAATAAATCCAGAAAGGGTAGGAAAATTAGAAAAATAAAAAAAATACAACTGCTAACAAAATAATAGGTTCCAGTATTCAAAAACCATCAGGTGAAAGTTGATAAGAAGTTTTATAATGGTGGGGTCATAACAGTAACATCTGAACCACTGATCAACTGTGACATCTCTAAAATTGGTATCCATTTGGTGTAGGAGGCCCTTCTGTTTTGTGTCGCTTTCATTGGTTAATGAATAGAGAAACTGCCTTGGCCTAGCTGATAGGGCAGAACTTAGGTAGGTGGGGAAGACAGAACTGAATGCTGGGAGGAAGAAAGGCAGAGTCAGGAGAGAGAAGCCATGGATCCTCCGCCTGAAATGGATGGTGGTTAGAATCTTTCCCAGTAAGCCACTGCCACATGGTGATATACAGATTAATAGAAATGGGTTAAATCAAGGTGTAAGAATTAGCCAATAAGAAACTAGAGCTAATAGGCCAAGCAGTATTTTAATGAATACAATTTCTGTGTGGTTATTTCGGGGCTAAGCTAGCAGGGTGGCCGGGATAAACAATTCCTTGAAACATCCATTATGTTCCTAAAATATGGAATACATGTAATATGTTGTTAAAATGAGTTGAATCTAGACCTAAGCCTCAAAGTCATGTCTTATTTTATACACACACACACACTGGGAAATAACATAAAGTATCATAAGAAAGTAATTAAACAGATCCAGATTAATAATATTTTATAGGATAATTAACCAGCTTCTTTTAAAAAGCCAGTGTTACAAAAGGAAGCACTAGACTGAAGAAGGCTCAGAAAGCTGTACAGAAGAAACTCCCGCAATGTGCGAGCCTCGTTTAGATACTGATTTGTCTCTCTTTCTTTCTTTCTTTCTTTCTTTCTTTCTTTCTTTCTTTCTTTTTTTTTTTTTTTTTTTGGTTTTTCGAGACAGGGTTTCTCTGTGGCTTTGGAGCCTGTCCTGGAACTAGCTCTGTAGACCAGGCTGGTCTCGAACTCACAGAGATCCGCCTGCCTCTGCCTTCCGAGTGCTGGGATTAAAGGCGTGCGCCACCATCGCCCGGCCGATTTGTTTTTCTTTTCAGGGTCGGGGGACCCAGGCCTTGTGGGCTCAAAACCAAACCAAAACAACAACAACAACAACAAACTCATCAGATAAAAATTGGAAAAATTAAAATATGGACTAAATATTAGATGATATCAAGAAAGGTGATGATGCCATTGTGGTTACATAAGAAAACAACAGGTTTTAGAAGCTGACATTGAAACATGCTTGGGTGAGATACAGGACATCTGGGGTATGCTCTAAAATATTCCAGATAAAAACAGATGACCATATACACTGTATCACTGAGTCTGAAGGACAGGTATGTGGAGGTCCATTGTATTAATTACTTCTGGCTACTTTTGAAACAGTTATAAAAATGTTTACTCTTAAAAGTGATAGGTTATATGGAAAGATGAAGCATACTAAGATATTTGTAGTTAATGTTGTCTGTCAACTTGGATTCAGTAGCACCTAGGGATTAACAGAGTACACTGGTATTATCGGGAGATGATCAACCATGGGAAGCCATCTACCCTGAACATGGGTGGGTAGTCATGGGAAGAGCTGTCCTGAATGTGGGTAGCACTGAAACAAATCTTCCTCCTTCTCATAGTTCTGTCAGATATGGTGATACAGCAATGAACGTCAGATGTACAGACCTGTGGGATGGCTCAGCAGCGAGAGCTCTTACTGCGCAAACCTCATCTCCATCCCCTGAGCCCACAGGGTAGAAGAGCAAACCTGGATAGCTCCCCAGTGTTCTCTGACCCACAGACACCAATGATGGGACAAGCATGAGCATAAAATGTCAAATAAATGTAAAAAAAAATAGAAAATCTGACACAGAAAACTGTACATTGAACTTTGGAAAATGTATTCTATTTTAAAATATTTATTTATTTATATTTTATGTCTGAGTGTTCTGCAGGCCATAAGAGGGCATCAGATCCCATTTATAGATGGCTGTGAGCCATTATGTGATTGCTGGGAACTGAACTCAGGACATTTGGAAGAGCAGCCAGTGCTCTTAACTGCTGAGCCATTTCCAGCCCCAGAAATGTGAAATAAATGTGTGAAAACATTAATTTATATGTTATTTTGAAAATCCGCACCCAAGTTTCCAAAACTTCAAGTTAATTAAAACTTACTTGAGTTTCAGTCTGTAACTGTCCAATTAAGGAGAGAGTCTTGACAGCAACGAAGCAGACCTGTGATTTCAAACGAGCAAACAAGTTACCAAAATTTCCACTGGATGTGGGAATTATTTCTTCCTTAACTTACTGATTGAAAAACTTGAGCAGCTTTTAAGGGATGGTGTAAAATGTGATTTCCAAGCTCAGCATCTAATTCGACAACATCAGAGGGGTTTACTAAAACACTGAACCGATAAACAGCATAACTTTGTTTTGAATCTGAGAAGACATAAATGTGAAAGTCAGGACAGATATGTGTGGGAACTTGTCAGAGGGTCTTGACAGCCACCTTTGCTGACATACCATTGTAGGACTTGCAGTCATCCATAAACTTTTGAAGGCCCCCACTTCTGTCAAGATAGACAAGGGCTGCCTCTTTCATTTGTAGATTTGCCATTGTCTCCTTGCTGATATTCCTCTGTTATTAGCGAGCTAACCACAGCTGTCGGAAGGGATTACAAGTGATGAAGCCCATATAAAGAATGAGGAAACCTAGAAACAAAGTAAAGCTTATGTTTGAAGACCTCTATAAAACTCACAAATTATTAAAACTTAAAGTTGAGAATACAACTAGGTAAAACCTTCCAGCTCTAAACCCTTCCACTTGAAGTAGAAACAAAACCTTTCAACTAAACCCAGACCCCACATAAGCAAGCATGTAACCACTATGTACTACTGAGTCATACTTCCATCCCCAAATAACAGTTTAATCAATATTTAGTTATGAGGTAAGTTAAAAGACCACAAACTTAACAGGATACTCCAATGTCTTTCTAGCTCATGCACTCCAAAAAATGAAAATTGAAACAAATAATTTTAGATGATGATCATCCCATGTGAGCACAGCTGAAGGATTAATGTGGTACAAATTGTGTCATAAATTCAATCTGGGGTGACCCATTGGGTGAAGAAGCTTGCTGCCAAGTCTGAGGAGTGAGTCTGATCCCTGGGACCCACATTGGTAGAAGGAGGGAACCAGCTTTAGCAAGCTGTCCTTTGCTCTCCTACACACACACACACACACACACACACACACACACACACACACACAGAGAGAGAGAGAGAGAGAGAGAGAGAGAGAGATATGAAGGCCAGAAATAGTTCTTGACCCAGCATTTGTTGGGGAAATTGGCTGACTGCTCTTGGCTCAGTATCTTTAGTTGAAGAAGATAACGACATTGAATGATTAAGGCCTCTTTCACCTTTGAGTCTTTGAGTCTCTTTCACCTTTGAGTTCTATGCGTGTTAGGAACACACATAGAACATTAAACTGTAGAAGCAGAGAGGGGGCTATGAACAACTTGAGCAGCAAATACTGGTTAGAAACAAGATATGCTAACAGTCCCTGTGATGTTTAGGATGTTTATTAGGAATGATATCATTAAGATTGGCACCTGCCTCCAAGGAATCCACCTTAGAGAAGTCAGAAATAATGACTAATCCATGTATCGAATCATTATCAACTTGTTGATACCTACTATTTATTGGCTAACCCACTTTCCCCAGGCACCAGGAATACCCAATGTCAGACCTATCCTTTCTGAGCCTACAGCAAGTACAGCAGCTATGCAAACAACCATGCGATAACTTGTAATAGAAGTATGACCATGCAAGTGACCACAGAACACGGTAAGGGAAATACTTCACAAAATCTGGCCATCCTCATGTATGGGCCATGGTTGATGATAGCGGGCTAACAGAAAAGCTATGCACTCTACTTTGAAGGGATAAAGCGAGTTTCTCTGAGACCCTAAATACAAACTGCTGTCCTGGAGAGTTTGCCTAGAACACACAAAGCTGGGTTCAATCCTAGCACCATCAAAACAAACAAAGAAACAAAGTTGGCTTTCAGTAGGAATTACTAAAATGGGCAGTTTTCAAAAGATACTGGCGAACATCCCATTATGAGTCATTGAATTCACCCAGTTAGTACCTGAAGTTCAGAATACTTTTGAAATTTTGGAAACTAGCTTCTTCCTGTTGTCTGCTTGGAGAGTACCTTGAAACAGCAAACAGGCAATAATCAATTTTCAACTAGTGTAGTATTTCTAAGAGATGGATGGACCAGTCCAGGATATATAGAACAAAATGGGTTGGAGGAGGGAGATGAATTCTAGAATTTTGTTTGTTTGTTTAGTTTTTTGAGACAGGGTTTCTCTGTGTAGCCCTGGCTGTCCTGGAACTCACTCTGTAGACCAGGGTAGCCTTGAACTCACAGAGATCCACCTGCCTCTGCCTCCCGAGTGAATGCTGGGATAAAGGCATCCACCACTACTGCCCAGAGAGTTCTAGAATTTTAAAGACTGTTCTGGACCTCATGACCAACCTGTACAACAGAGAGGAAACTATTAAATCGAGGCCAGGTCGTGGTTGCACGTTCAGGAGGCTGGACAGACAGTTCAAAGCTAGTCTCGGTAGCCTCAGGCTATGTAGGAGCTCTTGGGTAACTGAGTTGCTTAGCAAAACCCTGATTTGAAATCAACAGTTGCGATGCCCAAGGCCAGGTTCCATCCCAGACCTCCAAATAAGAGTTTTCGCAGGGCAGTGGTGGTGCACACCTTTAATCCCAGCACTCGGGAGGCAGAGGCAGGTGGATCTCTGTGAGTTCGAGGCCAGCCTGGTCTACAAGAGCTAGTTCCAGGACAGGCTCCAAAGCGCCAGAGAAACCCTGTCTCCAAAAAAAAAAAAAAAAAAAAAAAAAAAAAAAAAAAAAAAAGGAGTTTTCAAGCAGCAGTCAGCCAGGTAGGAATAGAAGTCTTGCTGGGAACGGTGGCGCTCGCCTTAATCCCAGCCCTCGGTCAATCTCTGAGTTCAAGGCCATTTCAAGCAGCAGTCAGCCAGGTAGGAATAGAAGTCTTGCTGGGAACGGTGGCGCTCGCCTTAATCCCAGCCCTCGGTCAATCTCTGAGTTCAAGGCCAACCTGGTCTACTGAGTGAGTACCAGGACGGCCAGTGCTACCCAGAGAAAAACAAAACACAAACAACTCACACTCACACTCGTGTCTTGGGAATGGACGCATTTACAAGTAGGGAATTATGAGGAGGAAAGGACACAGAGCCGGGCGACGGGGATAATAACAGGTCTTCCCTCCTGTCAGGGCTGAGGAGACCAAGGCTCACACACCTCAGAACTCAGCCGCGAGAGTTCAGGCTCGCGGGTCGTGCAGCCCCTCAGGAGACCCGGTCCCAAGAGCCCGGCCACTCCGGCCACCTCTGGAGCGTGACCCACCTGAGCCTCAGGACCCGCGCGGGACTCCTGCGCACGCGCGCTCCTCCCCACCCCCGACCGACCGTTGGCGGGGGCGGAGTCTGCCGGGAACTCCGCCCCCCGTCACCAGGGCAACCAGTTCCACCCGCACCACTTCAGAGCAGTGCTGCTGCGTTAGTTAATACAAGGACGTTTGATACGTGGTAAAAAACAAAAGATCAAATTCTGCCGGTGGGGATGCGAAATAGCATTGTAAACTTTGGAAACACTGAGGTAGACTCTCACAGGGCTAATTCCAAGAGAACTGAAAACATGCGTCCACAGAAACGCTTGCACATGGAAGCTCAAGCTATTGCTCTTAACTGTCCTGATGTGAACGCCTTAGTGTCAAACAGCCGTGGTATAGCAACACACGACAACACAAGAGTCTTCAGATTAAAAAGAGAAGTGCTCGCACCATATGGATGGCTCTTGAGTGCACTGTGCAAGCTGAAAGACACAAACGTCACGTGTTGTATGATCCAGGATAGGCAAACATGTTCTTGAATTTATGATTACCTAAGACTTGAAAAGGGAGCGGGAGAGAAAGTGACTGATACTGGGTAGGGGATTTTTTTTCCTCCCTAAAATTGTGATAAAATACACAATAACAGAATGTACCATTTTAGCCATTCTTGAGTGGAAGCTGAGTTGGTATTCAGTCACACTGTCGCGAAACTACAACACTATTTCCAGGACTTTTTTCATCTTTCCCAAACTCCGTACACATTTAGCTTTTTCCCAAGTGCCTGTCAAGAACCTTGTTCTGGCTTCTTGAAACTGGCTACTCCAGAGCTCAAAAATGGAATCTTACAGCCTTTGTTGTCTTGGGCATTTTTGCATAGGCAAGCTTTGAACTCACAATTTTGCCTCAGCTTCCAAGTGCAGGCCTATAGATATATTTCACTATATCCGGCTAATAGTGCATTCCTAAACAGATGAGTTGTATAGTATGAGAATTAAAGGTCAATAAAAGTTTTTACCAAACAACAAAACCACTAAAAATGGTCATGGCTCAAGTGTACTACTTGGCATAGCAAACCTCCTTCCTCTTCTTGGAAAAGGTTTCACTCAGGAGGAAATAAATAACTAAATAACGTATGTGTAATATTAAGTTGGGGGTGTCACCCCAGCCCTCTAACACCCCTATATCCAAGAAGTCTGGATGATTGGAAGCCTCTGGCCTGGGAGTTGCCCTGGTTCGGACTCCAACTCCAAGCCTGCCAAGCACTGACTTCTCCCCCAGGGAGGGTCAGGACCACTCCCACAGGCTATTTAGGGTCCAGCCAGAAAAAGGGACTTATAGTTTCAGGTTTGTTTTGGGATCCTCTTCCCGCAATGCTGTCTTGGTCCACACTAGAGTGCTGCGTTTATTAAACAAGGGCATTTTAATTCGGTCTAATCTGGTTTGATTGGAGTTCTCTGTGGAGAGGCTTTTATTAAGATTAAACTAAGCAGTATGTCCCACATACATTATGTGCCAGTGAAAGACCCCCAGTGCTGGGGAGACTCTCACTCAAGTCTCGGGAACACGACCCCCTAGTAACTCACGAGAGACCGTCCTTGCTGCAATCACACGAGGCTTTAATGATGAGATGAGACAGGAACCAGTGCACTGGGGCCGAGACTCATAACCCACGCAGGGGGAGAGTTCGACCCAGAGTGACCACCGGGGAACTGATTTTTAAGGGAAGAAACCGCAGCCCAGTGATCCAGAATTGGCAGGGAGTGTGTCACAGAAAATTTCGAAAATACCAGTGAAGATTACAAGGGGGCAACCCCCTGCCTCTCAGGACCACTCCCAAGGTCATAATCAGCTAGTTCTTAAAACACGTTACACTGACAATCACAAGGGGAAACTACCTGTTTCTCAAGATTATTCTCAAGATTACAATCTAACTTTATCTTCAGCTAGTTCCTGAAACAGTCACTAAACTGGCTAATCCTAGATTTTTGATTCTTCTCTTCCTGCTTGCATTTTTGGCTATTTCCTTTGTGCTGGGGGGAGGGGAGGGAGCGGACCTGGATTTATCCAGGTCTTTCATCAGCACACTTACTTTGTTTTGTGTTGACTCTCAGGTTGTTTTGCTAACTTGATGGTTGTGAACATGACAATACAGACACCTATTTAGACACACTGATTCCAAATTTTGGGGACAACTTCCTTCCTTTGTTGTTTTTTGAGATAGGGTTTCTCTGTAGCTTTGGGGTCTGTCCTGGAAGTAGCTCTTATAGACCAGGCTGGTCGAACTCACAGAGATCCGCCTGCCTCTGCCTCCAAGTGCACTGGGATAAAGGGCGTGCACTACCACCACCTGACCAGTTTTCCTTTTTTATTATAAGTAAAAAGCAAAGCAATGGAAGTCACAACAACCATAATACTGGTGGTATAAGACTATTGCTGCTGGTTCACGTGGATGATGCAGAGATCTTATCCACAACTGTTTCAAATCACCAGTATGAAGAACAACACAGCAAAAAGGGCAAATAATATTTTTACATCATTTTGTGTTCTTATGGCCCCCTGGAAGGGCCTGTGTACTGACTAATCTTGATTGTTAAATTAATGGGATTTGGAGTTATCAGGGAAACATGAGTCCAGGTGGATCTGTGAGAACTGAAGAGAGAAGAGCCACCCTGAGTATGGGTGGCAATGCCTTGTGGACTGACGAAGGGTAAAGCATGGGAGATAGCACCACATCTCTCTTTGAGTCCTGAAGACCCAGTGGAACCAACTGCTTCCCACCACAGCTATACCATGCATGCCTGCTTCACCAGGGCAGATTGTTCCCTAGTGAGCAAAAACAAGCTCACTAGGTTTTTAATTTTTGTTTGTTTGCTTTTTTTTTTTTTTTTTTGAGACAGAGTTTCTCTGTGTATCCCTGGCTGTCCTTGAATTCCCTCTGTAGACCAGGCTTGCCTTGAACTCAACAGAGATTTGTTTGCTTTTGCCTCTTCAGTGCTAGGAAAGGTGTACACCCCCCAACACTTACAAACTCGTTCTTAAACTGATTTTGTTTGCTATTGTGTCACAGCAAAGACAAAACTAACACAGCCTGGGATTCTTCTAGTCACCCACCCAACACACACTGACAACGACGTCTGTACTCACTGAACACACACACACCCAAGAATACACACTGGCAACTACCACGTCTGTATTCAC